CCCAGCAATTTCCCTGTTACTTTTCTCAGTCCTCTTTCCCCCGTTTACTCAAAAGCAATACAATTATGCCCATGACCTTCCCACTGTGGTTTCAGATGGAGTCTGTGACATTAAAATTAAGTGAGATTTTTTTCTTTTAATATAAATTCATTTCATTATCACGATCAAGATCACATAGAGTGAAGAGCACTTAAGGCCTCCTGGGATATGGAAAGGTGTTTAGATTCTGGGCAATCAAGAGCCATTAGAGGATTCTAATCTAAAAGATAAAAGCATTTGGATAACACTTTTTATTGAAGTTTACTTTACATAAAATATCATGTACAGATTTTAAATGTGTTGCTCTTTGAGTTTTGACAAGTGTATACATTCATTTAACCACCGCCCCAATGAAAATGTAGAACATTTCCATAACTTCTGAAAATTATTATAAGTCATTTTCTGATCAATTCCCCTCACCCAAGAGGTAACTACTCTTCTGATTTCTATACCCACAGGTTGGTTGTGCCTGATTTTGAACTTCATATAGATGGAATCATACAGTACGTATTATTTTTATTTGGCTTCTTCCTCCCCACATAATGATTTTGAGACTCATTTATTCTGTGGGATATTGGCAGATTCTTTCTATTGATGAGTAGTATTTCAACTTATGAATGAATCACAGCAGCTTACCCATGGACTTATGGAATGCTTTCAGTGTTTGTCCATGACAGATAAAGCAGCTGTTCTTTTATATAACTCTTCTTATGGGCATTTGTTTTCAGCTCTCTTGAGTCAACTTCTAAGAGAGGAATGTCTGGGTCAAATAGTAGGTACACGTTCAATTTTAGAGAAACTTCCAAATTGTTTTCCAAAGTAGTTGCACCACTTTACACTCCCATCAGCTAAGTATAAGAGTGCCAGTTACTCCATGTCATTGTCAATATTTGGTATTATCGATGTTTTAAATTCTAGCCATTCTTGCAGGGATGTGTAGTATTTCATTGTGATTTGAATTTGCCCTAATGATACTGAGCCTCTTTTCATGTGTTTATTGGCTGCTTTTACTATGAAGTATCTGTTTAAGTCTTTTGGTCATTATTTTGATTGAGTGGTTTGTGTTGTTATTATTGATTTATAGATGTTTTATATACTCTCGATATGATTCTTTTGTCGTACATATTTTTATAAATATTTTTTTCTAATCTGCAGTTTGCTTATTCATTTTCTTTTTAAAGCTTTTTAAAATATAGTAGATGAACATATTTTGGGAATACATGTGATAATTTGATACATTCATATGAGTGTAATGATTAAATCAGCATAATTGGGATTTTCATAACATTAAATATTTATCTTTTATTTACTCTGGGAACATTCAAATCATTGTCTTCTTGCTATTTTGAAATATACAATAGATTATTGTTAACTATAGTCACCCTACTGATCTATCGATCATGAGGTCTTATCTCTTCTAACTTTATATTTGTACCAATGAATTCCCCCATTCTCCCCTTCCTAGCTTATTCATTTTCTTAACAGAGTATTTTGATAAGCAGAATTTTAAGCTTTGATGAAGTTCAATTTTCAACTCTCCTTTTCCTTTTAAGAAGTATTGCCGGGCTCGTTGGCTCAACCTGTAATCCCGCTCCTTTGGGAGGCTGAGGTGAGTGGATTGCCTGAGCCCACGGGTTCGAGACCTGCCTGGGCAGCGAGACCTCATCTCTACAATAAATTAAAAAATCAGCCGGGTGTAGTAACGCATGCCTGTAATTCCGGCTACTCGGAAGGCTGTGGTGGAAGGATCGACGGAGCCCAGCAGGTTGAGGTTGCAGTGGCTGGGAGTGGCCACTGCACTCCAGTCTGGGCGACAGAGTGAGACTCCAACTCAAAAAAAAAAAGAAGTATTTACCTTCCATAAAGTTGCCAATATTTTCCCCTTGCTTTTGTCTGGATGTCTTACAGTTTTCATTTTGATATTTAGATCTATGAGCCTTTTTTAGTTAATTTTGATACATCATGTGAGAAAACAGTCAAGCTGTATTTGTTGTATAATAGATTTATTAACATATAATACACATGCCATACAATTTACCCATTTAAGGTGTATAATTTAATAACTCTTGGACTGCATATTCACAGAGCTGTGCAATAATAACCACAATCAATTTTATAATGTTTTCCTCATTCCCCCCCCCCAAAAAAACTATCTTTAGCAGTTACTCCCATTCCCTCTATTCTCCCCAGGCCTAAGCAACTACGAATCTGCATTCTCTCTAGATTTGCCTATTCCGGACATGTTATAAAAATAGAACCATACAATATGTGGTCTTTTGTAAAAGAGTGCATTCACTTAGCATAATGCTTTCAAGGTTCATCCATAAGTTGAATTTCTTCTTATGACTGAATAATATTTCGCTGTATGGATATATTATTACATTTTGTTTATCCATCCATTAGATGCTAAACATGTGGGTTGTTTTCACCTTTTGGCTATTATGAGTAATGCTGATATGAACGTTTGTGTACAAGTTTTTGTGGGGACATATATTTTTATTTCTCTTGAGTACATGCCTAGGTGTGGAGTTCTGGGTCATATGGAAATGCTATATTTCATGTTTTGAGGAATTACCAAACTGTTTTCCAAAGTGACTGCACCATTCTACAATCCTACCTGCAGTATGTGAGGGTTTCAATGTTCCACATTCTTTCCAGTACTTTTTATTATCTGTCTTTTTGTATTGTAGTCATTCTAGTGATATATCATTGTGGTTTTGATTTGCATTTCTCTGATGGCTAATGATGTTGGACAGTTTTTCATTAACTTATTCGCAGTTGTATATATTTCTTAGAGAAATGTCTATTCAGGTTCTTTACCTGTTTTTAAATTGAATTCTTATTCTTTTTATAATTGGGTTACAGAGTTATATATATTAGATACAAGTCCCAAGTTTCATTTTATAGCCTTATGGATTTCTAACTGTTCCAGCACTGTTTGCTGAAAAGGTTTTCCTTTCTCCATTATTATCTTGATACCTTTGTCAAAAGATGTATCAATCTATATGTAGACAATCTCATTCTGTTACATTGATCTGTTTTTCTATATTTATGCTATTTCAGTGTGAAATATTTCCTTACATTTCCCGTGATTTCTTTTTTGATCCGTGGTTTATTTATTTACTTACATATTTTAGAGACAGTGTACTGCTGTGTTGCCCAGACTGGAGTGCGGTGACGTGATCATAGTTCATTGCTGCCTCGAACTCCTGGGCTCAAGTGATCCTCTTGCCTCAGCTTCCTGAGTAGTTGGGACTACAGGTATATGCCACCACAGCTAGATAATTTTTTTTTTTTGAGTCAGTGTTTTGCTATGTTGCCCAGGCTGGTCTTGAACTTTCAGCCGCAAATGATCTTCTCACCAGGACCTCCCAAAGTGCTGGGATTACAGGTATGAGCCACCACACCCAGAGTCATGAGTTATTAGAACTGTATTGCTTGATTTCCAAATATTTGGATATTTTTCTAGATAGAATATTGTTGTGCATGGCTAATTTGATTCCATTGTGGTCAGAAAATATGATCTTAATATTTTTCCCATTGAAATTTAAAGATTCCTCTGTAGTCCCTGTATGGTGGATTTTCTATCAGCACTTGAAAAGAATATGTATTTTGCTGTTACTGGAGTAATATTTTATAATGTCCATTTGGCTAAGTTAAATAATAGTGTTATTCAAGCTTTCTGTATCCATACTGATTTTTTTGTGTACTTGTTTTATTAATTACAGAGAAAGGTGTTTTAGCCTGTCCAACTATGATTGTGAATTTTCTATATCTCTCCATTTTTGCTCGATATATTTGGAAGTTTTGTTGATCAGTTCATATACATTTAGGATCATCATGTCTTCTTGGTAAATTGATCCTTTTATCATTTTAAGGTGGCCATTTTTATTTCTGGTAATATTCCTGTATTAAAATCTACTTTGTCTAAAATTGATACTACATTGTATGCTTTTCCTATCCTTTTAACTAGTCTGTGTTTTCATGTTTAATGCATATCTTGTAAGCACAATATTGCTGGTTCTTATTTTCTTAGCGGTTTGACAGCTCTGCTTTCTACTTGGGGGTATTTAATGTAATTATTGATACATTTTCCCATCTTGCTACTTGTTTTTTATGTGTCCTTTTTGTCCTTTGCTTATATTTTTTCTTAGTTTCCTGACTTCATTTGGGTTGCTTATTTTTCAGTGATTATTTTTATATCTTTTATTGGATTTTACTCTGAATTAGCATTATAGAATTTCACACATAAAAATCTTCAAACAATATATTTCCATTTATCTTCTCCTTCTGTGCTTTTCTTGTTACACATTTTGCTTCTACTTATGTTATAAATCTCCCAATATCTTACCATTTTTGCTTTCTTTTTTTTTTTTTTTTTTTTTTTGTGAGTTGGAGTCTCACTCTGTCACCCAGACTGGAGTGCAGTGGCCGCTCTGGGTCACCGCAGCCTCAACCTGCTGGGCTCCGGCGATCCTTCCGCCTCAGCCTTCCAGTTGCTGGAACTACAGGTGCGCGCTACCACACCCGGCTAATTTTTTATTTATTGTAGAGATGAGGTCTCGCCAAGTTGCCCAGGCAGGTCTCGAACCCACGGGCTCAGGCAATCCACTCACCTCAGCCTCTCAAGTTGTGGGATTACAGGCTGAGCCACCGAGCCTGGCTCATTTTTGCTTTCAATAGTCAAAGAACTTTAAAATAATTTAATACAACCAGAAAAAATCTTTTGTAGATTTTTTTCTCTCCAGTGCTCTTCTTCTTTCACTATAGATTCTAATTTTTATTTGATATCATTCCCTTCATCTTGAGGAGCTTATTTCTTTTCTTGTAGTACTCTCAGATTTTATTTATTTTAAAATGCCATTATTTCCTATTAAAAAAAATTATTTTTAGTGGATACAGAACTATAAGTAGCTGCTAGCTTTTGTTTCTTTCAGCACGTTAAAGACGGAATTCTGGAGCAACGGTTTCTGCGGTGAGGGAGGCCGGGGCGGGGCTGAGGTCCGGGCTGGGGCTGTGAAGCCTTTGGGGTGGCAGGCAGCGGTGGCCCGGGACTCGAGCCTGGAGGCAGAATCGGCCGCCATGGCTGAGAGCATCATAATCCGTGTCCAGTCCCCTGATGGGGTGAAGCGGATCAGAGCAACAAAGAGAGAAACAGCTGCAACATTTTTGAAAAAGGCATGGCGATTTGTTGTTCCTGTTTCCCTTGAGACTTGCTGGGCCCTCATCTGAAATGGAGACATCAGCTCCACTGGGGTTTAAGACCTTGGGCACTCCCAGCGTGGTGGAAGATGAGAGCAATCTGTACCTCAGCAAACAGGATGGGAAGATTTACAGAAGCCGAGACCCACAGCTATGCCGCCATGGCCCTTTGGGGAAGTGTGTTCACTGTGTCCCTCCAGAGCCATTCGAGGAGGACTACCTAAACCGGCTTGAGCCTCCTGTGAAGCATATGTCCTTCCATGCCTACATCCGAAAACTGACTAGAGAGGCTGACAAGGGGAAATTTGTTGCCCTGTAGAACATCAGTTGCAAGATTAAATCAGGGTGTGAGGGACACCTCCCATGGCCTAACGGTATCTGCACTAAGTCCCAGCCAAGTGCCATCAGGCTGAACAGACAGAAATACAGACATGTGGACAATATCATGTTCGAAAATCACACTGCTGCTGACCGCTTCCTTGACTTCTGGAAAAAGACAGGGAACCAGCATTTTGGGTACTTATTGGACGGTACGGAGCACAATGACATTCCCCTGCGCATCAGAGCTGAGGTGGCTGCAATTTATGAACCTCCTCAGATTGGGACACAGAACAGCTTGGAGCTTCTTGACGATCCAAAAGCTGAGGTGGTTGATGAAATTGCTGCCAAGCTTGGCCTGAGGAAGGCTGAATGGATATTTACAGACCTTGTCTCAGAAGATACCTGAAAGGGTATATAGTTCGATACAGTCGAAATAAGGACACCTATTTCCTGAGTTCAGAAGAGTACATTACTGCAGGAGACTTCCAAAATAAGCATCCCAACATATGTCGACTCTCTCCAGATGGACATTTTGGATCAAAAAGAGAAAAAGAAAGCTGGATGGTGCTGCTGGGGGCTCCTCGCCTGTGGCCACTGCCGCCATGTGGGCTTGTCAGCATTGCACCTTCATGAACCAGCCGGGCACAGGCCACTGTGAGATGTGCAGCCTCCCCAGGACCTAGGGCTCCAGCCCTCTGCTGGGCAGGACTGGGCCTCGCCCAGCCCTTTCTGAAGCCAGGAGCATTGTGCAGTGTGTTCCTTGTGATGGCCCCGCAGTGGGCAGCCCTAAAAGGGCAGGGGCTGGCTCTCCTGGGCTCTCTGACCCACTGAAGCTTCTCAGCACGTTCTTCCTTGGAAAGAGGAAGCTATGCCTGGTGTTCTGCAGGCTGAATGCAATCTCCAAACTGGAAATGCAGAGCGGCCCCACCTGAGAATGCCCCACACCCTTAACCCCGTTTTCAAGCCCCCCACTGTGGTGGAAGTACCATGTACCTCTCAATCATCACTTGGAATTGGAGGGTGGTGGGGTTACTTTTGCCACCCAGCTTTTTTTTTCTTCCTTTTTGATGGTTTTTGTTCTTTGACCCATTCTCCGCCCTATATTTTGGTTGGGAGCTCTTGGTTGCCTCTGTATCTTGTTTCTCTGGGGCGGAGACCTGCCTGTGCGGGTCTCTTTTCCTCTTCCAAGATAGCCACTGTCTGATAGACACGAGTGGCCACAGGCTGACGGCCTGCTATCTGCTCAAGCTGTGGATCTGCAGGTTAATTTGCTGCCTACCCTTTTTCTTCCCCTCACCTGACATCCAGGTGGGATTTTAAGGTCTGCATGGTTGTAATAACACTTATCAGTAGTTTCTGCCCCCCCCAAAAGACGGAATTCTATTGTTTTCAGTCCTACCTGGTTTCTGATGAGAAGTCAGCCACTATTCCTGGATGTAAGGTATATTTTTCCTCTGTGTGGTTTTAAGAGTTTTCTCTTTTTCTCGGTTAGGTCAGTAACTATGAAAGAGTCTGAATTTTCATCCTGCTTGCAAGTTAATTTGCAATTCTGATAGGAGACAGAAAAAGACTATTAGGTAAAATTTCTGCAAGGGTCCCTGAGCCCCAGTTTCCACAGGACCATGTGTCTGTCGCCTGGATAGACTGCAAAGTACACTATAAGAGAGGAACTCAAGTAGTAGGAGGCACTAATCTTATATAGAGCCAGTTGGCAAATCCGCCCAGCAAAGATTAAGGTGTCTTTCATTTCAGAGTAATATAGGTAGGGATATCTTCACTGAAGCAGATTTAGTTATATTTCATTTGATACTTTATTTAAAAGATGGTTTTCATATTTCTGTTGAACTTCCTAATCTCCTTACCCATTACATCTTTTTTTCCCTTTGCTGCAGGTTCTCTATTGTATTTATTAAAGTTATTGTTTTTCATTCCCTTTTCCTTGATTCCAATATCTTGGTTATCTGTGGCTCTGTTTCAATTTTTTTTTTCTTCCCTTGACTATGTTTTACTTTTTTCTTTTCTTTGAATGCCTAAATTTTAAAATTATTTACATAGTAAACATTGCGAATGATATATTATAGATGCTCTGAATTCTGCTATTTTCCTATGAAGGATGTTAAAGTTTTGTTCTACCAGGAAGTTAAGTTATTGGAAGCACACTTTGGTTTGGTGGAGACTTGGTTTTGTACTTTGTTTAGATGGATTTCTTTTGGTTGTTGTTCCTCTTCCTAGGGTATTTCCCTTAATCCTGGAATGCAGTATTTCTCCCTGAGGTATGGCCATTCTGGGGTTTCAAAGGAAAGCACTATGGAAATAATTCCCTCTCAGATGATAGGACTTGAACTCTCTTCCCTAGCAGCAAGCAACTAATTGCTTAGATCCCTCCTTGGTATTATTTTCCTTTGGATTATTTAAATTCTTACCCCTTGCATGTTAATTCAGAAATCAGCCGATTTGAAGGCGTTTGTATGCAGAGGTTCAGTTTCTTCCCTTTGTGGCTACCTCATTTCCAAGATTTTACCCCTCAGGGTGCGATCCCACCCCACTGCCCAGTGCACAATTTACCAGTTTACATCACACTACTGCTTATATCTCCTGCTAGGCTGTGCAGAGAGGTTAAGTAACCATCTGTTCACTCTACACATATTCACTGTGCACCTGCTGTGCATGCCAGGCACTGGCTAGGCACTATGTGATAGAACTAATAAATTATAGGATTACTATATGACCTAGCACCAGGGCTCTATCTTAAAAAGACAAAGTAGCAGTGTTCCACAGTGATTAAGAGCATGGCCTCTGGGTCCCGACGGTCTGTGTGATCTTGGTTTGGTTACTTAACCCCTCTGTGCCTCAGTTTCCTCATTATGTGAAAAGCGTCCTACCTCCTAGGGTTGTTGTGAAGACTAAATGTGATCACGCAGAGAGCTTATTGCCCAGCACGTCGCACTCAGTAAATATTAGATGTTGTCATGACTGTTGTTTGTGGAGAGCCTGGTCAGCCCTGTTTTAGGCAGCACCAAATCCAGAGATGTAACTCTCCAAGTTGCCAATATCGGAGAGCTAAATAGCACTGGATAAACAGGAGGCATGGAATCATTTCACTCAAAATTTCACACATGATGCCTTACACAGTTACAGAAACAGAAACCAGATACTGCCATCAAGTGGTGATACTGAAAAATAAGAGCTTCTTGCCAATGCCAACCTATGTCTGAGGATATGTTTGCCAAAATAGTTTTAAGTTTCAAGTCACAACTACTGGTCACCCTGCCGCCAACCCCCAAACCAGCTAGCGAAAGTTCACGGTAAGTCAACAGTTGCGGACAGTTACAATTCTGAACTCAAACGATGCAATTTTTTTTTTCTCGTGCCCACTAAATAAGTAGTAGTAAACAATGGGTTTGTAGAGCCTCCAAATTACTGCCCTGTTTCAAGGCGTGCACGTATCCAGGGCTGGCCTCGGTTTCCGGTTTCTGGGCTGGAAAAATAAAACTAGAGGGCTCTGGATCTCCGGCAGCTCAGGAGCGCGCAGGCCGGGCGAGAGCGGAGAGAAGTGCAAAAAGGCGCCGGCCCCGCCATGCGGCCCGGCCCTGCCTCGCTGCGGTCGGACCAGTCGGACGGCTTCGCCCCCCAGCCCGCCCCTCCCCGCCCCGCGCCGCCGCTCCCGCCCTCCCGGAAACCGAGTCCCGCCTGCGAGCGTCCCGGGCCCGACCGGCGCAGCTCCCCGCGCAGCCGCCGCCCCGAAGCCCTCGCTGTCCCCGGCCGGCGCCTGGGCGCCGGGCCATGGGCCGTCCGGGCCGGCTGGAGGCCGGAGCAGGAGCCCAGCGGGAAATGGGTAAGGGATCGTGGGGACGGCCGGGCCCAGGCAGGGGACGCCCCCGCCGCTGCTCTGGGCAGTGACTGTGTGACAGGGTCAGGTCTGTGAGCACCTGCGGAGCTGCTGTCAGGACGGGAAGCCAAGGGCCAGGGGGCCTGGAGCAGGGAGGACGCTGGAAGAGGATTGAGCGGGGAAGAGGGGACCCTAAGAATCCAGCCTAACTGGGCGGCAGCGACCAGGACAGCAAGGGGACAGTCTCCCCACTGGGAGAGTCAGCTGAGTCTTGGCTCCAAGCCCCTTTGGAGAATAGGAGGAGCCTTTAAAGCTATCCATTATCGGAACCAGGTGACACTGAGGGCTTTGCTTCTAATCGCTCATTGCCCTGGGCCTCGATGGGTCCCTGGTGCCCATGATCAGGCCAGGCCCTCCTTCCTGCTGGCCACTTGCTTGGCCAGGGCTGCCCCCCAGGAGTGCCTTAGGATGGAGGAGGTGGATGCTGGTCCCTCTCCTAGGTGTGTCTGGGAGAAAGTGTCAAGAGGGATTCCTGGAAAAGTAAACAGTGTCTACTCAGCTGTCAAACTCAGTCCTTCTGGTTCTAGAACTGAGTCTAGCTTGTCTTTTCAGTAGGATGATGGAGCTAGGGATGTGAGTTCTCTCATAGATTTTTCCAGGCTGCAAGATGGATTTTGCTGCTCTGGTGAATGCACTCAACAGATCCCTATCATGTCTTGGTCAGAAGGCCAGGGTCAAAGTGAAGGCCTGGGCAACTTGGGGCCCTCCCTGCCCTTGAACCTCATTAGCTTGGCCCAGAGCAGATTGAATGTAATCAGCAACTAATTGAGTGTCTATGAACCCCTCTATGTAAGGAACACACCAAGGTCAAGTTTAGACAGTTCATAGTGCTGATACATTTTTTTCTTCCACCCATGGTATTTCCTCTTTGTGGAGGGTATGAAGAAGAGTCATTCATTCATTCATTCATTCATTCAACAAATAGTTCTGAGTGCCAGCTGCAAATCAGGCACATAGGCACTGGAATGTGACTGCTCTCATTTACATAGAGATTGGAGAGAGAAAATAATCAAGTAAGCAGGTGGACCACATTATATCAGAGTGATAAATTCTGTAAAAACAAAAAACACAAAAACATGTAAGAGAAACGACTAGGTGTGGAGACTCGTGACTGTAGTCCTAGGCCAAGGCAGGAGGATGGCTTGAGGCCAAGAGTTTGAGATCAGACTGGGCAAAAAAGCAAGACCCCTGTCTCTGCAACAAACAAAAAAAAAAGAAAAGAAAAGAAAAGAAAGAAAGAAAGAAAAGAAAAATTAGCTGGGTGTGGTGGTATACGCTTATAGTCCCAGCCACTCTGAAGGCTGAGGCAGGAGGATCACTTGAGCCCGGGGGTTCGAGGCTGTGGTAAGGCATGATTGTGCCACTGCCCTCTAGCCTTAGCAACCACAAGTCCCTGTCAGAGAGAGAGAGAGAGAGAGAGAGAGAGAGAGAGAGAGAGAGATTGGTCCTTTAGAAAGTATGACAAACAGAGACAGAGAGAGAGAGAGAGAGAAATTGGCCCTTAACTAGAAAGTATGACAAACAGACTTTTTAAATATGGTGGGAAAATGGTACCATTTTCAGGTTCTAAAAACCTAGAGACACAGTATGGATTGTCCTCTGTTCCTGTACACAGGAAGTTATAAGCTACCTATAAGGGATCAATGAACAATGGACAAGTAGTTTGTAGCCCCCTTTTGAAGTCCTGGGAGCATATTTCTTGTTGGGAGGCTTAAATCTAAGGCAGAGAATCTAAGGCTTAAAT